CCATTGCTATTCTGGACCATCTGGCATAGAAAGCTCTCAGGCTTTCTCCTTCCTTTTGCCTGATATCTATCAGGGCCTTGAGGTGAAGCGGGCGCCGTTTCTGGGACGCGAACTTCGTTGTGAACAGGAGTATGAACTCCTCGAATGAGCGGATGATTCCATTTGGGAGGCGGTTGTACCAGTCGAGGCATATGCCGGTGAATGTCGACGGGAAGGTCCGGCATAGCGCGGCGTTGGAGTTGGTTTGGAGTTGCATACGCAAGCAGAAAGTGCTTACATGGTCTTCCGGGTCGGTCGTGCCGTTGTATGTCGGGAGGGCGGGCGTCGCCCCTGTTAGGTTCTCTGCCATTATCTGCGCGCTCAGCGGCTGGTGAAGGACCCTTTTGGGCGGATTGGGTCGGTACTGCGGAGACAGGTGTTGCTCTAAGAAGCTGAGGTCCGCCCGCTCTGGTGGCTCGATCCCCGGCGCTTCACACGCGGGGATTTCCGTCGCCCCGTGTTGGGGTGGCTGGACTGTCCCCGACGTTTCTCCCAAAGCCTGCTGTGGCGCTACCGCGAAGGTTCGTTGAGGCGCGTCCGCTACCGCACCTGTCGTTGGCGCGCTATCCCTGCTCATCATGAGCGCGATAACTTGGCTCATTTGTTTCTGCATGTCGGCTATGACGTTGTTCTGCTTTCTCACTAGATCCCTCATTTCTTTTGCCGTCAGCTCGGGCTCTTCTTCTTCAATGAGCACGGCATTGAGGTTGCTGGCTTCCGCGAACACCCTCGGGTCAGTCATTGCCTTGATCGGTGTTGCTTGGTCAGGTTGGTCGGGGTTGCGCTCTGCCATCGGGGGATTTTCCTTTAGTGTTTCTTCTTGGCCCCACGGTGGGCGCCAATTGTTTGAACCTAACTGAGTGTAGGAGTGAGGTCCGAGTGAGGGTTTGGGTCAAGAAGAAACACAGGCGTTGGGATTGCTCGGAGAGGGTAAAGATCAGAAAGTTGAGTGAGAGTGGGAGTCCCGTTTCTAGAAAGAGAAATAGTTGTTATAGAGAGAGAGTGGTGAAAAATGCCCTCCCCTCACCCACCGTAGTAAATGCCGTATTTATAGGCTTCATTGTGGTGGGTGAGTGGTTGACCCAAGTGGGGATACAAGATGTGACAATTGGGATACAACGATGTGACCACTGGCACATACTAAGGATTTTAGGCTCTGTCTAGGCCATCCCTCTACCTAGGACGTGTCAGAGACTTGCCACTGGTCTTGATGTGACCACTTCCTGGGGAGTAAAGCTACGCTTCCCTCCTCTCTTGGCTTGGCCTGCGCTATGCTCTTCCTCGGCGCCTGTAACTAGTATCGCGCACCAACTCTTCGCGCCAGGACATGGTTGACCACGATGAGGTGTCGCGCTCGGGGTCTTCGCGCTGCTATGTCGGAGTCCATCCAGTCGCGCCCACTCCCTGACGTGGCTAGGTCCGAGTCACATGCCCAACAGTGTTGTATGTATGATTTGAGTTTTCTCTCGATCTATATCAAAATTTCATTCAGGCACAACGGTCTACAAATGCTATATACAATATCGTCATGAAGTTTTCGCATATACCATCGATAGTACTTTTGCAAGGCCACGACAAACATTGACACACGATTGCACAAGACCGAAGTCGCTCAAGGTTGAAGCCTCGATGACCTCCCTATTTGCCAATAGAAATATATAGAAATTGTTTTACCTACCTAGCTAGGCCTAACCCAACTCAATCGATTTCCAATATCATATAATATTATAGAGTTTCTCTATTTAAACTCTAACATATTGGTAGACTAAAAGAGGGTCGATATGACACTTGCAACGGACACAAACAAATAAAACTATCAAATCAACTTGTTACACCGATTAAACTGTGTAATCGAACCAACTCGACTTTATTAACATATATATTATAACTTATTATTCTACTTTTTAACGTCTGACTGGTTAGTCAACCAACGGTTGAGTAAAGTTTCTACCACACATTAGGGTGAACAAACACACCCGCAAACCGACCCACCCGTCCAACCCGACCCAACCGATCCGTATTTATCGCTAAAACGAAAGTTTTGAGTCGGGTGATTAAAATGACTAAATCCGAACCATCCGACCCATGTACACCCTACCACACATGACGCATCACATGCACTTCAACATTAAAAATAAATAAATAAATCAGGATGGGCCCCAATCGCATTCGCATGGCTGACACCTAGGCATCTTCTCCATTTTACATATATAGTTCAACATATATATCTCCAACACTTTCCGCATTTCAACTACATCATCACTCCTTCTAGTTCTTCCCATCACAAACCGAAAATGGAGGAGGCCAGCACCAGGCTACTCGCCGGCGATGTCGACGACGGGAAGATCAAAATGAGCCTCCTCAATTCCGATCCCAAGAAGAAGACGACGACTGCTGATAATAAGGGCGGCTTCCGAACCATTCCATTCATCATACGTACGTACGATTTCCAACCTAATTTTCTCTGCTCCTTCCTCCCCACCAATCAAATTCATTTCCACCGTTGATTTTCTTTATATAAAAAAAAAAAATTCCCCTGGTTGCGGCAGTGAACGAGGCGTTTCATACGTTAGCAAGCACGGGGCTGAACGCGAACATGGTAATCTACCTGACGAGTTCCTTCCACATGGAGGCCGCCGCGGCTTCCAGCTTCATCTCTCTGTGGGCCGCGGCTTCCAGCGCGCTGGCCGTATTCGGGGCTTCGCTCTCCGACTCCTTCCTGGGCCGGTTTCGGGTCATCGTCCTCGGCTGCTGCTTCTCCCTTCTCGTCAGTCCACTTAATTCCCTTCCTTCCCTGCCTTTCATTTTTCACCGCTACTCTTTTCTTTAATTATTTTTCCTCTTTTTACCTTTTTGCCGTTTGGATTCCTTCTTCTTCTTCCTTTTTCATTATTAGGTGCCTTTACTATTTTCTTTCGAATGTTGACATGTGTGTTTGACGTTGGTGATGGTACATGTGAGTTGTCGACTTGCCTTGCAGCTCCACGTCTCTTTGCTCTGTAGAGTCTTAGGTGTAATTACTACTGCATGATGTAGATATTAGAGATTCTGTTGAGTAATTGAAAATATTTTTGTCCTTATTTCATTAATGGAGTATACAGTATAGTATAAGAAGCTCTTGCTAAACATATACATGCACATAATTTAACCTTGGGCTATAAGTTGAATGAGTCGTACTCGTAACGCTTTCTAGATCATACGTTAAATATTATTGGATTTGTTTAAATTTGTACAATTTTTTTTTAAAAAAAATATATAATAAATTCCTGCCATATTCATTAGCTCATTTTAATTGAGAAAAACAACAATTGATACCAAAGAGGCCAAAAGAAAAACCAAGTGGCGGTGGGCTTTAATATGTTGTCACGGGAATCATATGATCTTCATAGGTAGAGAGTTACACTACTCCATAAGATTTCAAAAATTTGACCCTTCAACGAAAGTTACTCAAAATTTTCCAAAAAGTAATGCTACTTTTCATATTTTTGGAACGCAAAATTTTATGTAGTCATCGTAGATATTGAAAATTGATCATAAAGTTCGACGAACAGGTAGTTAACGTGCCAACCACATATTAGTGACATTCTACTACCCCTACCATTACCACTTTCAGGGGCGCCCCTGCAACTGTGCCAATAGGTCCAATGGCACAGGGCTCAGTCAATAAACACGGGCGGATCTAGGGGTGGCCACCCCGGGCCTCGGCCCAGCCCTCCTCTGAATTCAGTGTTAGTATAGTCCTTAAGAATTTTTAGATTTTAGGCATTCGGTCCAGTGTTATTTTATAATAAGATTGGTATGAATAGAAAAATGAATTAGATGAATATATTCAAATCACTACTCTAAATTTAGTTTTGAAATTCTAGATCCAAAGGTTATTCGTCTAGAAAAAATAATGAAACCTAGAAGTCTAAAACGTAAAAGATTAAAAGAAATATGAGGTTTGTTCCCTTGAAAATTTACTAGAGCAGCTAGTGGATATAGGGATGGACACACAATGCAAATTGATTAGTCGATTGATTTGTCTAGTGTTAACGATGCTCGTTTCAACAGCTACTACGGACAGAATCTTTTCAACAATGAAACATGTGAAAATTGATTTGCGGAAAAAAATAAGCGATGAATTTCTCAACAATTGCTCAAGTATTTTTATTTGAAATGTGGACTCCATTATTGATGCATTCGCTAAATTAAAATACCGTCGTGTACAATTGACATAGTAAAAAAATCTATAATCATTATATTTTTTTACGATTCTAATTTTCTAACGAAATGCGACCCAGTGCTCTTCTGTGTTCTGGATCCGCCGCTGTCAATAAACAATAGTTGGGTAGCCTATTTTTATCGTTGAATTCCTAACTTGTAATTCGTTTGTGGACTCGGTCCACTACTAGTAATTGCTACACGTACACAAAAGAAATTAGTATCACATTTAATTTTTGAATAGTACCTCCAAAATTTCAGAGCCGACCCTAACCACTACTTTCTAGCAAAACCTGAATTAGTCGGTGGTGGATCGGGGTGGCCACCCGGGTCCCGGCCCAGTCCTCCTCTGGATCCGTAGTTAGTATAATCGTTATGAATTTTTCGATTTTAGGCATTCGATCCAGTCTTATTTTATAATAAGATTGAGTATAACTAGAAAAATGATTCAGATGAACATGTTCAAATCACTACTCTAAATTTAGCCTAGAAATTTCAGCCCCAAAGATTATGCGTCTAAAAAAACAATGAAACCTAAAATTCTAAAAGTTTAAAATGAAAAAGACTCAGAGAAATATGAGCTTTGTTCCCTTAAAAATTTACTAGAGCAGCTGGTGGATGCAGCGATGGACACACAATGAAAATTGATTAGTCGATTGATTTGTCTAGTGTTGATGCTGCTCGTTTCAACAGCTACTACGAAGAGAACCTTTTCAACAATGAAATGTGCGAGAACTGATTTGCTCAACAAAATGAGCGATGAATTCCTCACCGATTGCTCTGTAGACTCCATTATTGATGCATTCTTTAAATTAAAATACTATTGGGTACAATTTAAATTGCAAAAAACTATAATTTTTTTATAGTTTTTATTTTCTAATGAAATGCGGCTCAGTGCTTTTCTGTGTTCTGAATCCGCCGCTGGAATTAGTACTTACATTAATCAATGAACTAATGTTCATACATTTCTTTCTTTCTGTCTTTCAGGGAACCACTCTATTCTGGTCGACGGCAATGCTGCCCCAGCTCCACCCGCCGGCGACAACCACCGCCACCGCGACCCCGTTCCAGCTCTCCGTCCTCTACGCATCCCTTGGCCTCATCTCCCTCGGCGCCGGCTGCCTGCTGCCGTGCTCCATGGCGTTCGGGGCCGACCAGCTGGACAACAAGGACAACCCGGACAACGACAAGGTCCTGCAGCGCTTCTTCAACTGGTACTACGCCGTCGCCGGAGCCGCCACGCTGCTGGGGCTCACCGTCCTCGTCTACGTCCAGGACAGCTACGGGTGGGAGGTGGGGCTGGCCGTCCCTGCTTTCCTCATCCTGTTCTCCGCGCTGCTCTTCTTGCTCCCATCTTCGATCTACGTGAAGCACGAGGCCAAGAGCAGCTTGTTTGCGGGCTGCTTTCGGGTTGTGGTGGCGGCGGGGAGGAAGGCGGCTAGGGTTGGTGATGGTGAGGTGGCGAGTTTGGGTGATGGTGGTGGTGGCCGGTTTTTCCAAGGTCGTGTTGGTTCCGGCGACTTTACGATTACCTGCCCAACTCCTAACTTTAGGTAACATTTTTTTTCTTCATCATGCAGTTAGTTATCCAAGGTTATAATGTGAGTATTTATACCTTGAAATACTATAGAAAGTGGTATAATATAATGGGAGTTATATTAGCCTCTATCTTCAAAATTTACATCAAATCGTTGAAAATGTTCATAGACTGTTATGATTTGTAGTACTTGGTGAAAGCTTGGTTCTAGATACCCATTGATCTGGTCCGACTGGGACGGGCTGAGATAGTTTGTCTATAAGATCAGCTTATTATGATAGAGTCACTTTTTGGTTCTAATGACCCATGACAATAACCTAGCTAGTGATATGAAATTATACATACCAATACATTGGACTTTTTTTTTTTGTAAAGTTTTAAATTTTTAGGTACGATAATGATAAAATATATAGAAGTACTAAAACATAGTTTTTCCATGTTTGTAAGAAAATATAAATTTAGATATAAAAAAATATAAATTTCAAAAAATTGTTTTTAAAAAAAAATTGAGTCGACCCCTCTGACGACTCGGCCAAATCTCATCCAATCAAACCAAACAAGATCGTGGAAAAATAGGACCGAATCGGACCAGATTTGTAACTTAACCCTATATTCTATAAGACCAGATCATTCAATGGTAGTTCAAGGATGAGGATTGGGTTTTAACTAGTGTCACCCCTAGCTGCCCTCACTCTAATTCCTGAATTCGCAACATGATTTTATTTTTGCATGCAGGGGCCTGAACAAAGCTTGCTTCATAGCCAATCCAGAGACAGACATAAACCCTGCAGACGGCTCAGCAACGGACCCATGGAACCTATGCACCATAGAAGAAGTAGAAGCCGTGAAATCAATCCTTCGAGTCCTGCCCATTTGGTCCACTGGGATCCTCCACTACGTCACCTTAGCTCAGTACCCTTTCATGACGCTGCAAGCTGAGACCATGAACCGGCAGATCTTCCCCAACTCGACCTTCCAGCTCCCACCGGGCTCCCTCAACTGCTTCGTCCTCGTCAGCTTCACCCTCTGCATCGTCCTCTACGACTCGACCTTCGTCCCTATCCTCGCGAGGATCACCGGGAATCCCCGTGGCCTGAGCACCAACGTCCGGCTCGGAGCAGGGATGGTCCTCTCCGTGGTTGCCATGGCGATTTCAGGTACGAGATGAAATTTTTTTTTAATCATAACAACAAAAAGGGAAACAAATTAAAGAATAATTTCTGTCATCACTGATGTCAGGTGTTGTGGAGAGCGTCAGGAGGGGGATGGCAATCCAACAACCTGACGACGCGACGACGGTGGACATGTCCGTGTTGTGGCTAGCGCCGGCACTGCTTCTGCTCGGGATGGCGCAGACTCTGAACTCGATCGAGCAGATCGCGTTCTACTACTCGCAGCTGCCGAAATCCATGGCCAGCATTGCTGTGTCTCTGTACACTATGGTCACCGCGATTGGGAGCCTGGTTTCGAGTTTTCTGATCAACGCGGTGGATGGTCTAACCTCCGGAGGAGGAAAGGCGAGCTGGTTGTCGACCGATCTCGAAGAGGGCCACTTGGATTACTACTATTGGCTCATAGCTGGACTCTGCCTGGGAAATTTTGTGTACTTCTTGCTCTGTTGCAGGGCATTTACGCCTCCTGCAGCTTGATAACTATTAGACGGACAGCTTGCGGTAAATGTAAATGGAACTCCATACAGTAATTCTACCATATATAATATAACAGGACGTTAGCATTTCCTCCATCGTATAATACTACTGGTGGTATCAAATGTATCATCATCCCATTCTATATATAGAGCATCATTTCTTACAAGCCAGGTGGTTTTAGAAATGGAATAAAACCCAGAATTCCTTCCACATCGACGGGAGCACGAAGTAAACGGCCGGCAATCTCCGGCAATGACGTCTTCCCCTTCCACGTATTGAACCAGGGTCCTCCTCCAACTTCCAGTGCTGCCATGTTGCTTGTGACTTCCAAAATCACCTGCGTAGGCCCCCAGATTGAGATGGTTAACAGCAAATAAGATATTTCATGTTTCCCGCACAACCACAATCAATACAATACAGGTTCATGGAAGCCCCAAAGCCTGATAAAAGAGGAAAGAGCCCGACCTTCCCCTTTGTTCCATCGTATCTACGTTCCCAAATCTGCAATTTGAGGTTGCCAAAGCAAGTATCTTTGCATGCTGGAGCAAATCCAGATTCCGTGGTTGGAGCCCGTAATGTTGTTCCTGGATCGTCCGCTGTTGCCACCAGCTCCACCTGCCAAGAAAATAGCATGGACACTGGATCAATACTCTTCATCGTGTAGGAAGAACAAAACATTAGGATTTGGATTTGAATAAACTAATCTCTCAAAATCTAGATGTATTTTAAGATCTATGTTACTCAAACAATCCATTCATTTAAGACAATCCACCAGCCAAATCATCCCTAAAAGGCATGCATTCGGAGAGAGCACTGCTAAACTCCACCTAAGTTATACCACAAGTTATTACTTACCATGTGTGTCTCATTCTCTGCCGTCAGGTACCAGGAACCCCATGGAGCAATCTCCCAGTTCACAACCCCGTTCCATGGTACGAACTCGTAGAAAACCCCCTTGTAGTGCACCCCAATCTGCACCATCAAAATTCAAAAGTTTTGGTTGTTTGCATCAATGTATAACAAAACATAGTTCTTAAATCTCAATGGTTAAACTATATATTGCAGGCCTTGCCGACATTCCAGTACCAAATTTTCCTGTGTTGCAAAAATATTAAAGAGAATGAGGAAGCGGAGACCAAACGGTAAAAAGAAGTATCTTCACAAAGTACCAATGCAGCATTCTCAAAAATCTCGCCTGGTCCGGGCAATTGCCTCAAGCCGCCACCTGATGTTAAAGCCACCTCTCCATCCGCACCTTCAAAGACGTTACATTGAACCTGCGATGTGGAATCCATACCATCAAAATTTAAGCAAATTCGAAATGCATCTTTAATCTCCACAGAGGATGGACAAGCCAAGAGACTCTGGAGAACTCTCACTATTTGCCTTCATCATATACTCAAAATGGCACGACATCTACTGATAGCATAATCAACAATTAAGAAAAACAACTCACCCAAAACCATTTTCTGGGGAAGCCACCGCCCCAATTCTTTTCGGAATAAGAAGGGGCATCCGTAAACTCAAACCTTTCGTCATCCCATTCTATCCAACCTGTAACCGACAGATTTAATACTAGAGGTTATTGGACTTCTTCCTCGGACTTCAAATTCCTGGTCATAAGAATTGGAAATGGGACACAAAGTGAGTAGCAAATGCCTGTTGAGAGTCCGCCAGCCATGCATATTTGCCAATGGGGTTCAAATACAGGAAAAGCTGCAGGCCAGCTTGCCGTGGACTTCTGTTTCGACCCTACATCACCCCATCCATATACAGGCCGGGTACTGTACTCCCATCGAGCTGTCTTGACAGTTTCCGCATAATCAGTCCTGTACTCAGCAACATTGGATGCCACAAAACAATACCACTGATTCAACAAACAAGGAAGAAAATGTAGGGAGAACATTTCAGGCAGTACACTTCTCCATAGTTATGTCTTTTCCATACTGATTCCAGAGGTCAGTAGGCGAAAGATTGGGTATTCCTCTATCATTATGAGACAATCACTTAATCACAAACCTCAGGTAGGGCAAATACATTTCACTGCGCATCTAATGGAAAACCATTTGTTTCTCTGCTTAGCCCTATTACTCTCTAGTGGTATATTACAGATAGGTTCTATACGAACTTGTTATGACGAAAGGACAGTTCGATTTCGAATTACCAAAGTGCAGAACGAACAGCAAAGTTTACCTGCCATTGTCACATATGTAACCTTGATGCCAGGTTGGGGTTACTTGAAAACCTTCCATAACTCTTCTATTGAATTCCTCCATGAATCAGCAAATAAACAAAAACAAATCTAAGGATCATCGTCCATGACTAAGACAAACTTCAAAACAAAAAATGGCAGGAACAAGTTCACCAATATGATTGATAGACTAAGCTAAATCAAGACTCTCAAGGCAGAATGATAACTGGAGAATCTAATCAATATGAACACCCGCAAGATCATATATCTACCTGAGGGGGAACCTCCTTGGTTGGAGGCCTCATGTCTTTCTGGGCAGCAAAAGTATTCCCCAATATCAGCTCATGCCTACCTACGCCAATCAACAAACTTCATCAACAACTCCAAACGGAATTTTCCAAATTGGAATTCATGGCAGAACAAAAGAAACTTACTCCCCCAAAAATTGTAAGATTCTTCAGAGAATTGGCAAATGTACTTATCATAAGCACCCAGAATCTGAGCCCCGACGCCGGTGGATCGAGTCCCGTGCTGCAGCATATCGAACGGCGACAACGGCTTCGGAAACACCGGATTCTCCACCGAGTACATGAAACAGAAGCTCTGCCTCTTCTCCGGGATGGAGACCTTGAAGTACCACCCTTCGAAGAACTTCCTCGTCGTCCCGTCGAAGTGGTAGCCGCTGTGCGGAGTACGCAGGTCCCGATTCCGAGGCGTGGGGACGTAAACAGGAGAAACAGTTGGGGAAGCCGCCGCTGGCGGTTTGTTCCCTGAATCCGGAGTAGAGGTTTCGCTATCGGAAGTTGCTTGCGCTGCCGTCAATGTAGAATTAGATGAAGGTTTCCGTAGCGGCGGAATGCGGCGGCGGTGGGGGTTGGGGAAGTGAGAAGAAAGAGGTTTACTAAGGGCGCGGGAGAGAAGAGGGGAGAGACCCGCAAAATCGGGAAAAGAGGACGCCGCAGAGGAGATGATCATCGTCTCCATTTCGATATCGGAGAAAGCTCTTGAGAGTGGAGATGGCGGCCGAGACGGAGTCGGCGGTGGAATTAGAAGGAAGAGAGATCGAGAGAGAGGAACTGGCGGTTGCGGTTAGGACAGAGCGCCAGCTGAGAGGCGATGAGGTGGCAGTAGTATGGACTTGAGACCTGAGAGAGAAGAACTGGCGGTTCACGGTACACGTCAGCGATACTTATTCAACATAGGGCCCACCGATGAACGGAGTTTTTTTTGTCTTTCTCCTCGTACGAATTGGGCCTGGCTTGTGGCCCGGCTCGCCAACCGCGGCCCAAAACGAAGGTATCTCGATCGAAAGCGAAAATGGAGGGGATGGCTGCTCGAGTTCTGTTAAATCTGTTTCTCTGATTTTCCAGTTTTACTTCTCGAGACGGAAAAACCCGAAAAATCTTTCTGTTCCATTTATCAGCTCTCTTCTGTTAGAAATTAGAATCAGCGCCGGGCGAGGTGTCAGATCAGGTATACCTCCTTTACCTTTTGCTTCCGACAATACACGATCCTCAATTTTCGCCGGGAAAGATTTAGATGCTTCCCGGAAACCTAATTGTCATATCGCTTGGGTGCATCGGCGATGGCGTTTGAATTGGCGCTGAATTCGACCTCTGGTTCATCTATCTTTTGTGCTAGCTCTAATGGAAATATTCAGTTCCGCTACTATTAGAGTGGGAATTCTGTTTTATCTTTACCAAAAGATCCACCTTTTCACTGACTGCAGTTGTTATCGTGGTTCCTAAAAGCTACTGGCAAGCATGCAGGTTAGTTTCTTCACTTCCATGGGTGGTAGATTTGCGTGTTTTCTTGATGAATTATGAATCATGATTTTCCAATTTTGGGACGCATTGTTCCAGGCTTCAAGGGCAAGGTTGTTCAAGGAATACAAAGAGGTGCAAAGGGAGAAATCGGCCGATCCGGATATCCAATTGGTTTGTGATGATTCCAACATTTTCAAATGGACTGCTCTGATAAAGGTGAGTTTTTTCTTCTTTTTTGTTTGGTTTCAGATGGAGATAGATAGATGACTGGTGATTTGATTGTGCTCGATGTTACTTGTGTGCTGAATTTCGTCACCGTGCAGGGGCCTTCAGAGACTCCGTTTGATGGTGGAGTCTTCCAGCTTGCCTTCGCCGTGCCGGAGCAGTATCCCTTGCAGCCTCCTCAAGTTCGTTTCTTGACAAAAATATTCCACCCAAATGTGCATTTCAAGGTGTGTTGTTCCTTCAGTTCTCTATTTATCTCTGTATCCAACTATCCATGGATAAGCTTTCATTATGTGTTGAGTCAGTTACTGTTAGTGGCTTAGGGGAATGCACATGAGTTATTGCAGAGTACAGTTAGAACTTAGAATCCTCTGGCAGTCTTTTGAAGTAAGGCAGGTGACCTAGATTTTAGGAGATATGAAAAACAGTGAGCATTTCAAGAGCCTCTTAAGAAATTATCAAGCTGATATTGATGTGGCTTAGTGGGGATAATTTTTCTGTTGCAGACTGGGGAGATATGTCTGGACATATTGAAGAATGCGTGGAGTCCAGCATGGACGCTTCAATCGGTTTGTAGGGCTATAATTGCTCTTATGGCTCACCCAGAGCCTGATAGCCCTCTGAACTGTGATTCAGGCAAGTTAGATTTCTAGTCTGATTATAACTTATAGATCCATCCGCCACACTGTTGTTTCCGATATCCTAAGACAAAGTATGTTGTGATTCAGGAAACCTTCTGCGCTCTGGCGATGTAAGAGGTTATCAGTCCATGGCCAGAATGTACACAAGGCTCGCAGCTTCACCAAAGAAAGGCTGAAACTACAAAAGACCGTTATTGTATGCTCTGTTTGTTTACTACTATAATTCTTGATATGGTTAATCATTTGGTTTTCTGGACTTTGATTTTGTATTGTAAGCTGAAATGCTGATTTCGTGTAATTAGCTTATGTTTGAGACAGAAAGGAAAGAACCTAGTATATTTTACACGTACTGTTGCCAAAAGTTACATTTTATTTAACACATCTTTCTCGACGATCATCAAATTGAAGACAGCTTCTGGTGTTCAGTACAAGGTATTATCAACATGATGCATCCTGACTAGAGCTTTCATTGTTTGAGGTATTTATCGAACCAGTAGCTTGCTTCTTTCACCATGGATTTTGTCATCTGGTGCCCAATTCCAGCTTCAGCAATTACCTGCATTCGATGCAGAAGTAGAAGCTTCAGGCTGTTATATATTTTTATTCTTTTTCTATTACATTGTGACGAGGTACAATGAGCTCGTATACCTTAAACTTGTCTGCGGCATTAGCTTCCTCATAAACCGCTAGAGTTCTCAGCATTGGAGTCTGTATACCAGAAATCGGGCAACGTGGGTCTTCTGCTCCTGTAGTTTCAGAAAATTCAACGACCAAATACTTCAGTACTTGGAAACTTTAGTTAGCAATCTTAATGAATTTCTGAATGGTTCGTGAAGTCAAATTGCAGACTTTCTAGATTTAGTTGCCAACTTACCATTGAGAATAAGCAGAGGACGAGGCGACATAGCTGGTACGGTGTAAGGAGCATCCAAGCGAGACGCCAGGGCAGGGGCAATCCTGTTCCAAACCTGATCCAGGAAGCCAAAGATAATGATCAATGCTCTTTAAACGGAGTGAAGCAGAAGAACTCTGTTCATTAGCTGGTGACTGACCTTCTCCACCACTTCTTTATCAATAGCCTTTTTGCTCAAATCCATCCTCGCTTCTGCAACAAAAAAAGGCTTGACCAAATCAACACAAGAACTTCCCAACCATGAAATCCTCATTTACTACCAGTTGCCTGAACTGTCATACCTTCGAATACTGCTCTTATGCTATCAACACGAGCTTGCCATTTGTCATTGTCTATGGCCCAGCGAAATCCCTGACAATATATTTGCATTAGGGATTAATCAGAAAGCTAATTCGTTTCTGTTATGTGGCAAAACGTTGATCAATTCCTTCATTGATGTATACCTGGACACCGATTATGGGCACAACCACTGAATATCGGTTGTCCGCAAAAGCACCAAACCATGCATGCATTCCTGCAAAATTGGGGATGATGGAACCACTATATCAACAACTTAATTCATAAACCATGCAACTAGAAGCAAATCCGCTTTAAAGTTTGAAGGTCTCCGCTACCAACCAACCTCCCAATGATTCGCCAGTGATTCCAATCCTGGTACAGTCTATATCCTCCCTTTGTGTGAGATAATCCGCAAGCTTGATCAAGTCCCAGGCCTGCAAAAATGGAGTTGATTTGGCTACTGATCAAGTGATCATCCCTTGTGCCGAAGCTAGCCAACCCGAAGAAATAGCAAACGATCCATTTTACCGTATCGAATATGAAGGGCATTGTGTCACCTTTCTTCCATGATTCCACAAGAGCCTGCCATTTTCAAATTCACTCACTTGGTCACTCTATTCGAAACAACAAGAAACAGAAGAGCTAAGTTATGGAGCTAGCTAACATCTCTGTAGGTGGTTTTGTTGTGAGCTCGTTCACCGTGGTAGCGAGAATCAATGGCGATAGACACATATCCCCGTGAAGCATACGCCTTTCAAAACAAAAACACAATCAGTTACCAGAGCTTTTTCCAATTCTGTGTACTGAAATGCTCAATCAAAAGGTGGGAAAACGAATTGACGGCGACAACAATGATGATGATGATCACCTCAAGCAATGGGCGCAACCATTCCTTGTTCTTATGCGTGCTATGCAGAAACACAACGGCAGGCTTCCTTTCTTTCCCTCCTTTCAGACTCAGAATCAGAATAGGCAAGCGCCCTTGCTCCCCTGCCTACATACATATTTTTCATCCCCCCCAAAACAGCAATCAGTCAACATCACCCGCTTAATTTAGAAACTCTGATTCTGAATCGGCTAGAGAACGAAACCGAAAATTTCTCTACAGAGATCGAGAGGTTAATTCATTCAAAAGGTTATTACCTCAGTGATCAAGTGAAGATTCTCCTCCTTCAACTTCTCCTTCAGATTAGGTATATCTGCCTTCGGACAAGACTCCATTGCCTGTCAGTTAAAACTCGGAGAAGTTTCATTTCGGTAATAAACAAAGAGAAACTAAACCGCAAAGGTAGAGAAGCCATTGAATCGGAGACACAGTCACCGACCTCACTGAACGTCGGCGGTTTCTCATCCTGAAACAAAGGATGCTTGACCGGCTTCGCTTGCTCCACCGCCAACGGAACTTCCGATTCCACCGAAGCACAATTCAGCAACGGAGCGACGAAAAAAAAAATTAAACAAAACAAAAAAAAAAAGAGTACGGAATCACAAAAATTCAAAAGTCAAACCTGCGGCGGTTCGCCTGGAGCAGAGAACGCGGAGGAAATCGGAGCGGAGCTTGTGTACGTCGATGAGACAATCTTCACCATCCATGGCTGTAGCAGCGGCGGGAGTGAGACCGAAGTCCTTCTTCTTCTTCTTATCGTCGGAGGTCGGTGGAGTGCGGCGGAGGAAGAGTGGAGAAGGAGCTGGAAATTTAAAGGGAAACTGCTTTGGCGGGGAGATTGCCACGGGCGCGTGGTGGGACTGGGGAAGAGAAGGACGAATGACGACGAGCGGTGGCACGTGCGAGTCTGGGTAGTGGTGCGCACGTGTGAAGGAGGCCGCCTCCGTCAGTGTTCGTGGTGGTGGAAGAATCACCGTCCAGGCTCCTCCGCCTGACGACGAGAACAGCCAGATCGCGGGAAACGTAATCAGGACGGCACGGTAAAAGGTACAGCAGAGCGGCGCCATGCGCACGGTGGAAGGAGGGAGAAATTACAGCGTGTGGTTGCTTGCACGAATGAGATACGGAGCAAAATGCCAAAATGGGTTGGTGGGTGGTGACTGACTGGCAGCCCTAACTGCTGACTAGACAACGGAGGAAAGGGAGGAGTACGTACAAGGAAGATTCATCTTCTCGGATTGGCAGCCTTCAATTCCAAGTTCCATGATTGCTTTTTCCAAGTTTCTCGGCTGGGTGCAGAGGATTGCTCTTCCAGCTTCACCACCTTCCCGACTTTGTATTTTTGGATGATTCCAAGAGAACATATAAATGTGTGGCTCTGTGAGCTTCATCGGCAATGAGAGGTACGCTATTGGATACCGATGCGCCAATGCTCATCTGATATTGTTGGCAGGTAATCTGAAGGATGAAGTGGAGGAGTTGGTGTCTCTCATTTCCTGTGCTACGTAACAAAACAATTCCTGAAATCGCATTTTCTTCGGTCGTCTTACAACTTCTCCCATTGAGCGGTACAATTTCACTTCAGATGTTTGCTTAGGAGGAGAATGCATAATTTCATTGTTGCATCGTTTTCGACAAAACGTTTGAAATGAGATGCTACAAAACTTGAACTTAACATACGAAAAGATTTAGTTTTCCAAAGTTATTGTAGTCTAAGCGGTCGAAGAAATTAGCGTACAATTACGAGTAGTTGTTCATCCATATCCATGTTTCATGATGTATAGTATGCCTATTCATGTAGCACATCAAACAAGTCCTCGACAAAAAGGAAACACATGATCTTCTTGAAGGAAGTCTACTTCGTTAGGCTACTAAGAAGAAGTAACCAAAAACACAAAAGAAAAGGGTTACTTTTTAGTTGTAAATCAACTAAAGCTGGAATCCCTCCCTTACCAAAATTTACAAGAACACAATGAGGCACTGGAGTTCAATGAACGCAATCTAACATCACCAAGGACGGTGACGTGAATGTGAAAGAATGATCTGTAAAAATGTGCAGTCAATTCCTGTTGATTAGCATCCTTCATTTTGTCTTTTCTTTTACCTTTTTCTTCTCAGTCTATGTAGCGAGAGTTACTCTGCTTATATCCTGCCACTGGAAATGGAACCCATAACCAGGTATATTGTAGTCAAACTCAGTTCTTGTCATTGGGAGTTTGTGCCCTACCGTTGATAGGAGATGGTGCAGGAGAGATCGCTTGTTGTCGATTGTCATTCGATGGAGAAGCCCTCGAAACTGGATGCTTGATGATGCCATTAGTATACAAAGGACTGCAGTGAATTCCTGTACCATTTACTTCATGTTGTTGTTGGTTCCCCACTTTACCTTTGGCTGGTGGAGAGCACATTTGTTCTGCGAAATAATAGAACCCCTTTTTTGCTGTTATGGAGGGGGTAAAGAGTGAACAACTTGAAGAGCTGACTGCTGAGATCATAGATAGGAACCTTTTATGCTTCCACAACTGATGAGTCTGGTTAGGAAGTCTCGAAAACTGGTCAAGACGAGCCTTTCCTGCTCGGCATAGACCTCGGAGTAATCAGGAGTGCTAGTGGTGGATGGTGGTTGTTCCAGCTGGGTGGGTTTCACTTCACAAGTGGCTGGATCGAAATCAAGAGAGGACAGTCTTCCATTTTCCATGCCTGCCTGATAATCAGTGGTTTTCTCTCTTTCTGTTGCAGTCTGCTTGAAGCAATCCCTTTCTTGCCTCTCCTGAGCGGGTGAAGCAGAAGGCTTGTCACTCCTTATTGCTTCGTGTAATCCATCCGTTTTGCCTTCCCTACCTGGAAAAATCTCAAGTCAGAGTGAGATGCTCATTATGGAAATAAATCAATCTAATACAACCTATTCACCTTACAAAGAGTGCCAAAACCTTACTTAAATCAGACTACGGCTTTATATGACAATTTACAACAATGCACAGCACAAACTTTTCCTCCTCGGTCTTTTCTAGCCCTTGCCATTCATTCTTTGTCACAAACTCACAACTTATTGTCTGCTCTTAACAATGGGTACAAGTTTTTCAGCTCAGGGTATCGAATACATCCCTTTCACTTGACTTAAGCATGTTCTGCTCAAATTAATTACAGGACATGGTATCTAATGGATATTTCATAAGTGTTGAATCTGAAAGGCTGTTACTTCGGGTAGAGTTGTGAGGTGTGAAGAATGCAGCAGGGATTTAGTCGTGTTGGTTGGAAGAAAAATCATTCTACAAATCACAGTCAGATGCTTAGCACAAGCTATAGAGTGAAATGAAATGTAAAAACTAAAAAGCAACATATGAAAGTTTTGAAAGATTGCTGCAGGAAGTCAAACCTGATATTTCCTTTCCAGCTTCTCTTGAAAGTACTACCAAGAGCGAGCACAACTCCTTGACATGGTGCGGTTGGATTATGCCTGCCAATGGGGACCTAATGGAGATGGGGAACACACAATCATTTCCAATGAAGACTAACTTGAGAAGGAAAAATTATGATCGACGACTTGCATAAACTCTAATCGACAAAGCAGACCTGTATGTCAATTTTGAAGATCCCAACCGAGCAGGACCAGAAGTATGCAATCTCCCGTCAGGCAATGGAGAAGAACTATTCAGGTATTTTTCCTGGTAGCAATCACTAGTTAGAAAAAGCAAGAAGAAGCCAAAACAAGGCATTTAACTTTCAAAGTCACAAGGGACGCCCAAGCGAACAGGTAATGATTAAATATTTTCACAAGTATTATTAAACTGACTGGGTCTCGACATAAGAGAGGCCACTTTTGGCTGCAACAAGACCAAAATGAACAAGAAATTATCTTTGCAAACCACGTCGACAAATAGAAATAGGCACAGTATTGTGTTTCACCAAGCAGTTCAGAACGAAAATAGGCTACAAAAGCTCACCTGCTGGAACTTTAAACTGAAATTCAGACTTGAATCTTTGGTGCCAATACCATGCATATCATCACTCTTTCTTTTCTTGGATGAAACTGCAGTCCCATAGCCTGAAGAACCAATGGCTCCGTTGATGGCAGCATTTGCTGCTTGATGAGCATAAATGTTGGGACTAGAATTCCCACAAAAGATAGCCATTCTTTCTTCGCTTCCTTCGAAATTTTTGCAGTCCATACACTTGCAGTTTTCTGAGCACAAAATGTTTGCTTGAAAACACTCACAGTATTTTTTTAGACAACCCGATTTCTTGCAGTGACATCCTTTATTATGCTTTCCAATCATTTGAACCGCTCCTGTATTCCCCTGTTATTGATTGATGGAATCAATCACACAGTGATAACCATACAGAAGCTATTTTAAAGGCCTAGATTTGCTACAATCAAACAACACGTAAACACAATAGTTTAAATGAACTTTTCTTCTTTTACAAGTTAATCTTAGCTTTCATTCTCCAAATTCAATAGAAAACAAAATGGCTACTCAAACGAATTCATCAAGATCATCGAGTTTGGGATCAAGGATCTGAAACTCAAACACCACAGCATACTTACACTAGCCTTAGACCCTTGAGGGCTGCTAGCAATCTTCGGTCTAAAAGCATTTGGATTGCGCTCCAAGGTTAGCCCAACAGCTTCTTGCCTAGCACCCTCATGTTCCAAATTATTATAACAATTTACACAGTTGCAGTCCTTGCAATATAGCCCAGCAGCAAAGCACTCACAATACCTAAAACACACGGAAGAGTTGGCTAATCAAGGAAAACAGAGAACATTGTCCAAAGTCCATACATGATTAGAAGTCTAAACTTCATTTCTCCATTCTTAGAAGCTTAAATTCGCATCAAAACCGAGTAATAAAATCTGCAGCCTTATCAAATTGTCTAGCATACATCTCAATGGAAACCAGGAATGATACTTATCAACAGAAACTGAAGAGAAATCCAACAGCATTGATGCAATGTGAAGCATTTCAACAGCTAAAGTTCATCCATATGCTACTAATCGAGTGTCACTTACAGCTTCAAGCACCGAGAATTCTTGCAATTGCACTGCTTAGGCTTGTTAGGAGTAACATTGACATCTTTTGCCTCAGTGTCAACCCTTGGACGTGGTCTAGGAGATTCTTGCTTCTTGCTGAAGGAGTAATGATTAAAGATGCAACAAACAATTAGAATGACTAACAGAAAATCTAACTGTTAACCAAAGCAAGGTCAAGACTCTTAAGCACACCACGAATACCGAATTGATAAATCTAATTCCCCAATTCGACTAGTCTGAAAGCTTACACCGGCAGCGCAGGCAGTGGCAGTTTATGAACAGGATGAGGGATCCGGTACACCGCAGCCGGTACTTGCTGAAACCTCGCTTGAAACTGCGGCATTACCTGAGGCTGTGGTGGCGGCCGTGATTGCAGTAACTGCTTTGGCGGCGGCGGCGGCGGCGGCTGCAGATGCAAATGTAATTCCAATCCCGCTCCAGCCAGCTCTCGTGACTGCGGCTGTGGCGTTTGTAACTGCAAATGCAGCTGCAGCGTCGAATCCGACTGCGACGGCTGTTGAGCTACCGGCTGAGAGTGATGCTCCGTCGCCGCTCTACAAACAGCCGTGAAATCAAGCTGCCGCGCTAATTTCTTCGGCGCAAAATCCGAAACCGCCTCTCCTTGCTCCATCGCTCACCAAGCAATCAATCGCGAAAAGTTATCTCTTCTGGAGCTATTTTCCCCACCCCTTGCAGCCGAATTCAGAATTTGTCCTTTCAATTTCTCACGTCAATCTCTGCGAGCTGTGAAGTCGGGGAAAGTTCCGGACCAGACCGACGATGCAGTAGAAGAAGAGGTCCGCCGTCTGCGGGAGATCATCAATGGACGCCGGTGGAAGTGGGAACGGAGGAGCCGGAGTTCGAGGAAGAGGGGGGACTGGGAAGCACAAGGTTTTGGGGATTTGCTTTTATTTAATCGTTTTTCCTTTTCCTGCTCCCTCGTCACAAAATTTGAAATTTTAATTTTGCGAAATCGGAGGGCGAGATGCTGACTGTTTTCATCCGACGGTGCAGCTTGAAAGTTCCGGATTGACGGTGAGAGAGACTTCAGCCGTCGGATTGAGAAAAAAGGGTTTCGCTGATGACTTTCCATGGGAATTTGGCGGTAATCGACTCCGAATGAGGCTGGAGATTCTGTTGGGAGGACACGTGTACGGCTCGCGTTGGTTGGCTGTGCACTTAAAAAGGGTTACTTTTGATCGACGGATAAGGTTTGAAATTTCAAACGATTTTAAACAATTTTAGGGATGCGCGTGAACTACCACTAATTCAACTTTATTCCAACTTTAGCCCCTCAAATAATTTTCTTTCACATTTCAGTCACTGCATGTTTTTGTTGCATATAAATCTCTTATGGACAGTAGATATTGACATACTGCACAACCCTCTTGATCATGTAGGTTAATTAGTCTTGTTGTATTATGTTATCCTTACTCTAGTATCCATATATCAGTTGAAGAATTACATGAACTTGAACTTAAAGGTGATCTTAGCAGCAGGTAGCAAGCATATTAAAGTTTGTAACTTGATGGCGATACGTATTAACTACCCACTTTTGTGACAAGCTTTGTTATATACTCTGTGGCCTTGATCGAGTGAGTAGTAAAATAATATTGAGCATAGATGTTAAATGTGGAAGAGATAGCAACTCGACTTGTGTTTGATATTGATAATAACTAAGGGAGTGATATGTCTAGGCATCTAATTGAATTTGAGTGTGAAATGCATGATTGGGCTCGTCATTTGCTTTCAATGAACTACTATAGAACAATACAGCATACTGAGTTTCAACAAATATGACACACTTCATGATCGATGCTCGATATTTATATTTCAAACAAAAAAGATCGCATGTACTCTACATGACTACAATATATATTATTGTGAAATCTTTAACCATTCACCACTTGGATTGTAATTTTGTTTTGCTAACATGAACTCTACATAGGTTTTAAACTTACAAGTTACAAACGTTGGTCTAAACCATTATGAAATCCCCAAATCATATATAGGCTTTTTCTAGTGTGACTATGAATTCATAGTACCAAATTTAACTACATAGCATTCAGTTAATTACAAATGTAACTTTGCAACGGGCTGCCTAGCTAGTAAGGATTATGAATGGACTTTTGGCAAAAAATTATTTGATGTGAGCGACTCAGAGTATAATATTATGGACATTCTCCAAAAACGTTAAATTGTCAATACATGCTAAACGTGCTTTGTTTCTATCTTTCTCCTAAAAAGTTACAGAGCATACAAACAAAACAAATAACTATTAATAATTGGATCTACAAGTATGGTTGTAAAATGGCCCAGTCTGGTGCAGACCGGACCATACATACAGTCTATGATCTAGACAAATCGAGAAGCTTGACTGTTTGAGTATAGAACAAGGACAAGATCAAATATTACACGATTCATACCTTATTACGTCTGTACGGTTTAGTCTGGTACGATCTGGACCATGTAGACCAGATTGAGCAAAAATGAATATTTTTTTTAATAGACCATACGAAAATTCGAACCAAGAATTGAGAAAAAATTTGTTATTCCCCTTAAAACTAGGGCTGGGAAACGGTGTGGACCATATATACGGTCTATGGTCCAAACCAAGATGCTGAAGTATAGACCACAGACCAGACCATAGACTATACGGCCCGGTTCAGACCACGCCTATGCAGTCTGGTCCGGTCCAGATAAACCACACTCAATGAAAAATGAACAATTTGTTTAGTCAACCACACAAAAAATTGAACCAATAACTAAAAAAAATAATTTTTTTTTGCCTTAAAACATTAATCCTAACATGCATGAATAATTTTGATACCCTAAATCTTAGTACTTAACAAAGATACAAAGTAAAAGCATCCCAACTTGCACCATAACGTCATAAACATTAACATAATGTCATATAAAGACACAATTATCTCTACTCTCTGGTGAAATGTGGTTGTGAATGAAGGAGGAACGAGATTCTCAAAATTAAGGTTGAGACTTAGGTGTTGTTGTGGTAGTTGGGAGAGTGGTCGAATGGGCTATTAACACGTATTGACAAGTCGATTGGGGTCCATGGTTTGGTCCGGTAAACCGCGGGGTCTAGACTAGACCAGACCAAGAGATGAAAACATAAGATAATACATACCATGGACCATACATGACCATACTTAACGGTCTACGGTCCAGACCAAAAAGTGTGATCCGGTTTGGACCATGGTTTTTCTAACGGTCTGGTCTATTTTCCCAGCCCTACTTAAAACATAAATTCCTATAACAAGTATGCATAATTTTGATACTATAAATCAAAGTAAACAATGAAAATTCAAGGTCGTGGCTGTCATAGTCTTAATAACTCGAGTTGTTGGGAGAAGGTTATGCTGGATCTTATACCACACTCTAACACGCCTCCTCAAACGAAAGCCAACTCACGGGCTTGAAGTTTGCACAGGCCCACCATACCTTGTGCTATAATCAACTGTTAGCATTGAGGATCGTGGAGATTCGAACACACGACCACTTGGTCAAACCAGCTCTGATACCATGTCATAAACCAGTTGGTCCCAAATAACTCGAGTTGTTGGGAGAAGGTTAAGCTGGATCTTATACCACACTCTAACAGTGGCAACCAAACTTACATCATATATAACGCCATAAAAATTAACATAATGTCATATGGAGATACGATCGTCTTTACTTAGTGATGGAGTATGGTTTATTAATGAAGTAGGGGACGAGATTCACAAATTTAGGGTTGAATATTAGGTTTCGTAGAAAAGTTAAAATAATGGTCAAATGAGTTGCTAACACAAATTGGAAAAATGAGTTATGTCTATAGTTTGACTAGGTAAACCGCCATATAATACTGATGCGAGCCCAGCAAGTCAGCAACCCCAGTTCCGCCCAACATCAAATACCGAGAAGCAAAGGCGTTGGTGGGACAAGCAGATGGGAACGGGGGTTTTGAGGAACGAGAATTCCCCGATCGGGGAAATGGAAGGAGAGACTGGGGAATATGTCCAGGGATTTCTCTCCGTCAGCGGCCCAAAATACCCGACCGGGTATTTTGCCCGGGTTTCGGGTCTGACTGACGGGATTTTGTGCTTTAAGTTGTTTTTGTTATCTTTAATTGTCCAAACCTTGTATAAAAGCTTGGACTCGGGTTTTATGGTTAGTTGTTAGTAGAATATTGATTTTTATCTTGGTTTTGAGCTTTAGGTTTGAACTTTTCTCTGTATGAATCAAGTTTCCCCCTTGATTGTGGTCGAAATTCTACCGTTTTATATTGATTGAGCCTTTTTTCCCGATTCCGTGTTGACGTTGCACTTTCAATTCCACCCTATCTCTATCGTTTTATCCCTCTTCTTTGTTGTGTTACTTTGATAACTACGGGTACAGGATCCGTGTTGGTATCAAATACACATGCACCGACCACTGTTGTCTGTTGGAGGTCGTGAATCTCTGTCGCAACAGACGCCCGCCGGCGCCATCGATCGAAAGACGAATCGGATCCCAGCAAAGATGACGGAGTTCATCATCATCCCGTGAGCGATAAAAGACGTTATTTTCGAAAAGGCTAGAATTTTGGTACTCAAATTCTAAAGGGAACCCATATAACTACGAGCCAGCTGATTCGATCTTGTGCGTTCTTGAGAGAAACTGAGCAAACCTTTCTTATATCAGAGATTAAATTTTGCTCTCCTCCTATGCTTTGCAAACCCTAACAGGGACCAAAGTGTGTTACTAATTAATGACCACTAGAGAGGATCCCTTGCCTAGCTCTGTTCCTTAAACAACTTCATTTGCAGGGTGAAGCAGCTCTGACCCATATGGGTCGGGTTCTTAAACCAGCCGGTTGGCTTAACTACTGACCCGTTTAACTGGCAACGAAGCCTGGTTTCTGTTGCCTAGCTACCTAACACCTGGATTTCGAAAAAGCTGCTACTCGTTACTTACGAATATTACTCTCTTGAGTCTCTGGTAATTGAAATGCAGCGCGATACAATGCCGCCGGCGAGTCAGATCATTGTTCCGTCCTGCAGTCGGCGGAGTTCGCCGGCGGCCTGCGGTAACATGTGAGTGAAACCCTTTCTTTTTTAATTTGTTCCATCATGTGTTTTTGTCCTCTTCCTGCACGCGCCCTGTTTCTTGTTTTGTTTGGATGCGGAATGAAGCGCGCGATGATGATGCATGACAGCACATGAATTTGTATTTAATATGTGCTGATTAGTGATCTGCGTTGTGTCTCTTTTCCCGCTAAATATGGTAACGGCGGTTGGATTAATGTATTGGAAAGCCGCCGGCCGGCGGTTTCGGGACACAAAGAAATATTTTATATAATTAAAGAAATGGGTAAGTGAGTAGGTAGGTCTAATTTTGGGGTGGCGTGTGGTGGTGGGGAGAAGCACTTTCCGATCCCACATCTCTCTCCTTCCTTCCTTCCTTCCTTCCTTAATTTCTCCGTCAAGTACCCCACCCGCCACAACCATCATTTATGGTGATAAAGCTAAACTATATGAGTAAATGCATGGCTAAAAATCATGGTGTTACCTACTTGGACCGCCACATATTTTTTTTATTGGGTTTTGTTGTCTTTATCTCAAGGCAATGGGCGAGTTGGGTGAATTTTGATTTTCAATTAGTACACCTGTTATTAGCGAGTTGATAAGATTGTGACCCCGCTATCAACCCACCTTCTTTTGCGGGTTGGGTAGGTGACGGATGGGTTATGTTTTAACTCGCAAAAGCAATTCTCCAATTAGGCAACTAGTTATTAAGAAAATTGAGTAACATTTATAATAAGTTTTAGCAAATTAGTAAATATTATATCAATTTAGACACTTCCCACTTTGTCTCATATAATATTTGCATAGTTTTTTTTATTACTCTATCAACCAATTGTG